CCTGCAATGTGTGTGAATTAGTTGCGAGTGCACTTGCAAATCTGCAAATGTTACTGTTAATAGAGACTTCTATTTTGGAATAAGTATGTGTGCTTAGTCTGTGACAAGTTAACGTCAAATGAAATAAAATTAAGTTTATGGAAGTTTCAAGTCCATAGTGATACTAGAAAATTAATTGTATTCCACATGACTTTCCAATACTGTTTATCAAAACTCAGAAATGCTGTAGAGGTCAATCTCAGTTACCAGAATCCAAAATTCAGCTGTGATCAAGTTGCTAATCATGAACTCTGTTTTAGGCTATAAGTCTACTAACTCACTGAGGTCATTTGACTAGAGATTGTCTGTGAGGAAATCACTGTTTACTATGCTATCGTTTCTCCTTTTATAAAGAAATCCAAGGAAGAGATAAATAAGGAATCGAATGTATAGGTTACATCTCAAAATCCCATGTTTGCTCATCTAATCTTGAAATTTGGACTAAAATAAATAGAGCCAAAGGCCAGAGATTAGATAATAAGGATGTTTTGGTTTCAGATGTTATTGCTTAAATAATTTAATATTGGTCAATACAACCCTAATTGTGTTAGGGTTTTGTTGATTTATTGAATGTGTTTTTACCTAAGCAGTTGAGCCACAGGAGGTAATAGCTCTTAAACCCCATTCCCCGGGTTCTAGTATGAAATGAACCAGTGATTGAGAAGCCTCCCTGCTTCTTCTAGTACAGCCTTGGGAAAGAAAGTCAGGAAAGAAGTAGTTCTGCTCTGTGGACAACGGTTGTGGGGAAAGGGACTTCCCTGGTGGCGCAGTGGTTAAGACTCCATGCTCCCAATGCAGGGGGCCTGGGTTCTATCCCTGGTCAGGGAACTGGATCCCACATGCATGCTGCAACTAAGAGTTCGCATGCCACAACTAAGGAGCCCTCAAGACACAACTAAGGAGCCGCAAGCCACAACTAAGGAGCCCGTGAGCCACAAGGAAGGAGCCCATCTGCCGCAACTAAGACCCAGCACAACCAAATTTAAAAAAAAAAGGGTTGTGGGGAAAACATGACAAATGGGATAGCCCTGTGGCTGCAGTTAATAGTACATCCATTCCTATTGGATCAAGATGTAGGGCTTTTTACAAATACTGTTGGATTCAATTAGCTGTTTTTATTTTCTTGTATTACCCTTATCTGGTTTTGGAATCTATATTACACTAACTTCATAAAACGAGTAGGCAGGTTTTGAAAGTTGTCTATTTTTTTGGTAACAATTTGTTCTTTTCAGGAGAACAGTCTGATGACTTTTTCAGTCATCAACAGTCTGATGACAGTCTGATGACTTTTTCCTTAATGTTTATACAAGCACCACTTTTGGCATTTTATATATTTCTAGGAACTTTTGCATCCCATCCAGGTTTTCAACTTACTATCTATTTGGTGGTTTTCCTAATATTTTATTCTAGATTCTGTTTCATGGAGTTTTCTACAATGAGAGAGATGAAATGAAACCTGAGCAGGTCAGCACTTTTCAAACACATCGTCCACCTCTCTGAGTAGGGTAATTCTGTCCAGGATGTAGCACCCCCATGACTAGTCTATCATCTGACTCTTACCTGGCCTGGCCCTTCTGTGGTCCTCCCTGGTTGCCATCTAGTTTGTCTTACCTTCTCTCAGAGTTCTAACCCCAGCTTAGGCATCCTCCTTGATGATGCCGGTCATGGTTAATAACCAAAAGGGGTAAAAGAGAACTCTAAGGGGTATAGAGGAAAGAAGTAGTAAATGCGTGCTTTCTAGGTACAGGATTTCCTTCTGGAGTGATGAAAGTTTCTGAAACTAGATCGTGGTGATGGTTGCACAACTTTGTGAAAGTACTTCATGCCACTGGGTCGTACACTCACTTTAAAATGGTATGCCTGAAACTAATATAATACTGCATGTCAATTATACATCAACATAAATACATACATACATACACTGGTTCAGATGGTAAATTTTGTTATGTATATTTTTCTACAACAAAAAAAAATAATCTCAGACTTGGGGCAAGAGCCTCCTCTGCGTTTCTTAGTTCCTTATTTATTTCCATTTCCCTCAGTCACAGGGGTAGTGGCTACTCTTTGTATTTACTATTTTTAAAATTTTCTGTTATGTGTAAACATAAAATCTACCACCTTAGCCATTTTAAAGTGTACACACACTTTTGTTTCACAGTTCTAGAGATTATAAGTCTGAAATCAAGGTGTTGGCAGGGTTGGGTCCTCTTGGGACCTCTGAGGGAGAATCTCTTCCACGCCTCTCTCCTAGCGTTTAGTGGTTGCTGGCAATCCTCGGTGCTCCCTGCCTTGTGGGAGCATAACTCCAATTTCTTCTTCTGGCTTCACATGGTTGTCTTCCTTGTGTGCACGTCTCTGTTTTCTCCTCTTATAAGGTCGCTGGATTCAGTGACTTCATTTTAACTGATTACATCTGCAAAGACCCTGTTTCCAAATAAAGTCATATTCCCTGGTACCAGAGGTTAGGACTTGAACATATCTTTTTGGGGAGACACAATTCGACCCACAACAGGAGTCATCATCAATGTGGTGGCAAAGAAAACTGATGCCACACAGAGAAATCTGCACATAGACCTGTTTACTTGAGGAAAAAAAAAAAGTCCCCGTTTCCTTTTCCAACCTTGCAGTGTGCTTCAAGCACCCTCTACTGGCAGAGTTTAACATCCAGCCAGCGGGCAACAGGCAAATGCAGTCTGCAGAGTGCCGTTCCCTGGGGCAAGGGATGATGGGCTTTGCAGCTCAGAGGCAATAAATTCATAACAGCCACAGACTAAAGTTCTGTCTGCTTTGAAGTGAGCCTTCCCTACGTTAGTTTTAGCTTGACTACGGAGCTCTAAATCGGCTCTGGGACTAAACCTGGGAAGGGAAGAGTCCAAAGAGAGGAGATGCTTAGGCTAGGTCTGGTAGGTTATAGCAGGCTGGAAGGCCTTGAAGTGGAAGAGGGATGATATTTTAGGGAGAGGGACCAGTATGGGCAGAAGCAAAGCATGGGAGACCCTAGGTTGTTATGGAATTCTGAAAGCCACGTTAAGGTATTTGAACTCTAATCTGAGGGTGAAGTTGGGTAAGAGTAACATGACCAAATTTGTAATGTAGAAAATTTCCTTTATCTCCAGGCAGCATGGGAACTCCTTCTGTTTGGGAAGGAGAGCCCTGAACAGGCAGCAATGAGCTTCTATAGGGGAGTGTGCACAAAGGAAGTGGACTGGGAAACCTGCATAGCTGAAGAACCTCATGGGAGACAAGGTTCAATGAGAATCGTCAAATGTTTCAAGTATGGAAACAACATGATCTTATGTGGAGATGGCTGGCATCTCAAAACACAACACGTATCAATGAATGCATCATCTTACACTGTAAGTTTGTGTTCCTTATTTCAGGAATGGCACCTGATTTCCTAATCTAGAAACCTTAGCGTCATCAGGACTCAGTGCTCTCCTTCACTCCTCCACAACCAATGATTAAATACTACCCATTTTGCTTCATAAATGCGTCTCAACTTTTCTCCATTCTCAATGCTACTACCTTGAAACACGCCTGTAGCATCTCTTACTTGGACTCTTATGACTGTCTCATAACGGTCTTCCTGATATCTCCCAGCTTGTTTTCTCAGGCAGAGTAATTGTTCTGAAATGCAAATCTTAAGGTGTCACTTTATTACTTAAAAACTCTACGCTGGTTCTCCATTGCTCTTAGGATAAATAGCAATTTCTTCAACATGGAACAAAATGACCCCTCATAATCTGGCTTTTTCCAGTTTCATCCCCTCCACTCCTCATCCCCCAGCCCCACCCCCATCCCAGCCATATGGATTGTCTTTTTTTTTTTTTTGCAGTACGCGGGCCTCTCACTGTTGTGGCCTCTCCCGTTGCGGAGCACAGGCTCCGGACGCGCAGGCCCAGCGGCCATGGCTCATGGGCCCAGCTGCTCAGCGGCACGTGGGATCTTCCCAGACCGGGGCACAAACCCGCGTCCCCTGCATCGGCAGGTGGACTCTCAACCACTGCGCCACCAGGGAAGCCCCATACTATATTTTTAACTTTATTTTGTTCCATTTTCTTAAAAGAATTTATTATTTCTTAAAGTTTATTTGCTTGTTTATTGTCTGTCATCCTCCACCAGAATATATGCTCCTTGAGATTAAGAACCTTGTCTACCTTGCTCACCACTATGTCCTCAGAGCCTACAACAGTGTCTAGTTCATAGTAAAGACTCAAGAAATATTTACTGAGTGAATGACAGAAACAACTTTTTTTGAGGTAAAGTTCTTCATGTTGCTATAGAGTCCCATGCAATATTTTGGACATAATATACTAAAAAAATGTTGACCTGAAATTCAGATTTAACTGAGCGACCTGCATCTTTTCTGGCAGCCGTACCCCCAGAACACATTTGAGAATACGTGGATACATTTTTGATTGTCACGACTGAGGTGGTGGTACTACTGGCATCTAGTGTGATAGTGCGGAGGCTAAGAAACCCAGAACTAGATGGCCATGAACTTTAAGGCAGAGAGCGCCTAGAATCTCTAAGTTAAACTTCCTTTTGGAAAGGGAGAATGGAGTTAGTGAGACGGAGTCGGGGCTGAGACCCAGCTTTAAAACCCTGGGCACACATCTTGAGGCTGATAACCAGAGGGCAAGAGGGCCAGACTACCAACCAATGGCAACAAACGAAGTCATGATGCCTAAAAGACTGCCTGGGAAGGGCACTGTGGACAGTAAAGCACTCTGCATACACTGGTTAAGTGCACCTCAGACACAGAGACATCCTTTAGGTCCGTCCACCTGAGGACAAATCCTCTGGCCGCTGGGACTAGGAGCGCGTTCACAGACATAGCGGAAGCAGCCGGGCGGCTGAGGCGTCCTGCTGCTCCCCTAGCAACGGTCGTGACGGAAGTGGCTGAAGCAGCCGCGCCCGGTGCGCCTGCGCGGAGGCGCCGCGTGCTGACGTGGATCTGGGTCCAGCAGCCCACCCGGGCGCGCGGTGGAGTGCCGGGGTGCGGCTGGGCTAGGGGAGCCGTGGCCCAGCCGGCATGGCGACGCCGATCGCTCCGCGCCGGGGAGCCGGCGCTACCGGCCGGGGCTGGTTGGTGCTGCTGCCGCCCCTGCTGCTGGCGGTGCTACTGCCGCGGCCCGCTGCGGCCCTGGTGGAAGGGCTGTACTGCGGCACGCGGGACTGCTACGAGGTGCTGGGGGTGAGCCGCACGGCGGGCAAGGCGGAGATCGCGCGGGCCTACCGCCAGCTGGCTCGGCGCTACCACCCCGACCGCTACCGGCCAGAGCCCGGCGACGAGGGGCCCGGACGGACGCCGCAGAGCGCTGAGGAGGCCTTCCTGCTGGTGGCCACCGCCTACGAGACTCTTAAGGTAAGCCTGGGGGCGCGGATGGGCTGCGAGGACCCGCTGGCGAAGCGAGCGACGTGGCCCCTTCGGCCCCTGGCCCGTGCAGCGAGCCTCCCTGTGACTCCGGCGCCGGGCGCGACCACCGCCACCACCCTTAGGATGCTCGCGCTTCCCCACGTGAGAGAGCGCATACGGCCCACTGACAAAGATGGGAACCCCCTCGGTCTTGGAGGGCAGCCAGCCCCCTCCTTTCTGTTACAGTCTTTTTTATGCAAAGCTTTGGGCTTCTTACGATTTAGTGAAAATGTTTTAATAATGTGCAGCTCACTCTCGGAAAGCAGGGTGATTATTATTACCAAGATCTGTGATAGAACACAGGAAAGGGCTCCAGTGACAGTGAGATCGCCCAAATTTGAGTCGACATAAACTTGGTTTCTGGGGATGGTATTAATTGTGACATTTAGCTTGGGTTTAAGGATGTAGAAAAATACTAAGAAGAACACCGGATGTTTGACTCCGGCTCTGAACACCCCTGTATGACCTTGGATAGTGACTTAATAGGTCAGAGTACCTGTTTCTTCATAGGCACAATTAAGGCCATGATGCCTGCTCCACGGGTTGTTATGAGGTTAAATGATGAATGAGAAACCCCCTATACAGGACCTGCAAATAGGTGCTTAATGACTTGGGTTTCAAGACTGAGAATTTCTAGTAGGAAATATTTTGTGAGTATATGTATAGTCATTTGCCAAAGGTTTTATTGAGTCTTGTGGGGATGGGGAGATTTAGCCTGATCCTGTTTTCTTTTACTGCTGGGAAAAGCAAACCATAAGAAATCACTAAGTACAAAACATATTTGGTGGAAGTGTTACTGCTTCAAGGGCCCCATCGTGCTAATGCAACAGCAGTTGCAGTTGCAGGGTACTTTTTTCTAGCTTTTTTTTTCTTTTCTTTTTGAGGCAGAGTTTTCCATGTTGCTGTATCGTCTGCTTTTAGTGACTACTTTGAGTGGGTATGCTATAATTTAACTATGGATTATTTTTCCAGGTTAGATTTCCAGAGCTGAAAATACTGAGTCAAGGAGTTAATGGCTTACTTTCCAGAGCAGTTTGGATAATATGGAGTCATAAAATTCACTAAATTCTCACCAGCATTGGTGAGATTGTAATTTTTATTGGCAGTTAACTGAGGAATGGGGGTTTTGGGAAAGTGCTGAGGCCAGAGGGCTTGGTTGCCTATTATCTGGGATAGAGAGTGCTTGAGCAAAGACTTCAGAAAGATGGGAAAGAACTTCATTCAAGGCAGCCCAGCATGTGAAGCTCCAGTCTGCTTTTCTGCCGTGAGGAAAGATAGTGGTCCAGACGGGCATCCAGAAGGCCTGCCACTGGTCCTCCAAAGCCCTCGTGGCACAAGAGGGAGCACTGGGCAGGTGGAGAACTTCCAGAAGAGGGGCAGCAGAAACAGTGGCGACTGTTCCCTTCTGCTGGGGTTGGAGATGGGGAGATTTGGCATGAAAATGGTGAGCATGATAGTTGATAGTAAGAACTTTGAAAAAAAAGTGCCGAGAAATAGAGACTATAGAAAATCTGGCTGGGAGGAATCCCAGGACTCTAAATATTCTTGCCATTTTCTCGAAGAGACAAATTCAGAGGCTGAACTGGCTGTAATGGTTGCCTCTGAATGCTGCTACGAGTTTAGCACTGATTTGTCAGCTAATAAAAAGCTCAATAAAATAATGTGTTCACTCAAGAACAAGGAACTTTGAGGCAGTTAAAAACTAGTATGTCTGGAGAAAGTAACACTTACTCTTGATTGGGACAGGTCTGCGGTAGCTGCAAATGCCTCCAAACAGGAAACTAGAATTGTAGTTGCACTGATGGAGGGTGGGAGAGAGTGTTCTATAGCTTCCCCAACCCCACTCATTATTACTGCAGGAGAACGGAAATTATCTGTGAGAGAAAAGGGGTGTCTGGGCTTGGTTTGGACCCATGGAACTCAGACTTAGTTGGGCTCTATGAAAACTCCCATGTTAAATTTATAGAGATAGATAGGGGTTCCACTTCCAAGTGGAACACCTTCAGAAACTTTTTAAAAAACTTCATTGAAGATGCTCTCTCCTGGAATAAGGAAGAGGACTTTGACTTGCCATGTGTGGAAGAAGTTATTAAAGACAAACAGGGTGGTCTGATTTTATCGCTGTCATAATGGAGAATTGTGAGAAGGTTGCCAGAAGATATCATTTCTGGGTAATGCAGAGATCTGATAAACTGGGGTCATCCCCTTGAGGCAACAGGGATGCAACCACTGTTTTGCTTGGATTATATCCACAGACTGGAAAGAGGGCTTGTGAGGGATAAGAGGTCCACCTGGCCTTTACTACGAGCAGGTCAGATAGAATAGTGGGAGAAGCTGATAAGTTCCAGTGGCTCTGGAATGAAGACGAGCCGCAGAAGCCTACCTGAAATTCCATATATCATCTCATGGGGGCAGCAACTGCAGACCTGGGACCGCATTTCATTTCTATTTGCTCTTTTTGTTATACACTATATATTTCTCCATAAAGAATAGCAATAAACCCTGTGAGAGCTGAAAAGGAGGGAGGGCCTTGGGAAGACTGTGTCCTCCTTCACAGCCACGTTCAGTTATTGCTGGCATATGAAGGGAAAAGTTGATTCTATATTTGCTTTGTAGAATGCCCAGGTAGATTCCATCTCTGGAACAGTGTATCTAACAGAAATTGTTTCTTTTGTGAAATCTGAAATAAATTAGTTGTAAATTCATTGGAGCCAGGAGCCTTTTTTCTCTCCCCATAATTTTTTGATAACCTTCTTAATTTCTTATTCTTGGTCTGTTCAAGTCTCTTAGCATTTTTAACATGTATAATATAAAAAGCTATATTATATCCTCATTATAATCTTAAATGGTATTCCATCAAAACTTATAACAACCAAGCATCTCTGAATCACCAAAATGAGAATTATATTTGTGTAAGATATAGTGGATTTATGACTCTGAAGTTGTCTTGGTTAAATAAATGCCTCTTTGAGAGAGAGTTTTTTTAGATGGAAATTGTTAAAAAATAAGGATACTGACATGATTTAAATGCAGTTGGTCAGACAAGGAGATATTATCACAGTTGGTCATTGTTTTCATAGCAACAGAGATTCTACCTGTGAACAGAGAGATTGAGAAAAACCAGAAAAAGAAGGACGGGTAATAATGGAAGGCAAAGGGACCTGTCAGATGCTTTTACCAAGTCATGCTTAGTTCATGTTCTCAAATAACTTAAAACCTCTAGATCTCAGCAGGACTTGAAACCATTATGATTTCACACACTGCTTTATATTTGTTTCATAATATGAGTTAAGCCGGTGAAATAACTATTTAGTGTATTTGACTACTGGGGATTCAGGGACACATGGACTTTGGAAGTTAAGTAAACAGACTCTCACTCACTGTGTCAACATTGGATCTTTTTATGTGGATATAGCACTTATCACACTGCACTGTAAATCCTGAGTAGCCCTTCTCCCCTCTCCACTAAACTTCATTTTTGCATGTATATCCATGGCACCTAGCACAGTGTCTGGCACATAGATAATGAATGCTTGTAAAATAAATACTCCTATCTGGAGATAGATTCAGATAGGATGGAAATCGAAAGTGGATTTCTGGCGTTTTGACATTGTTATGTGAAGCCTACTTTGGCATTTTACCCCAAATTAATTGTAGTCTTAAAGAGTGGTACAGATAAAGTAGATTGCGTGGGTATGAATGAAAAATTCCTGCATGAGAGAAAAATTATACTTCTGTTTTTAAGGAGAAATTATTTTCTCAGGGTTTTAGAGAACATTAATTATTTTTGCTATAGATACAAACTGGATGAATTAGATAAAATGAGAAGGATGGCATAGAAATCAGCAGATGAGGGAACAGGTGGTAAGGACGCACTTAGAAAAACTGCAATTGGTAGAAAATGGTAGAGTTTGACAGCATTTTGCAAGATCGTGAGAGAAGAACATAGAAAAGGTCTTGGAGGTATTACTGGCGTGCAGGTTATCTGATAAATTGAAGGGATGTGTAGAGAGAGCCTTGTGCTCCTCCAGCCTTGTCTTGGCAGGAAAGTCACAGGAACATGTCAGTTTCTTTTTGCCAGTCTGGTTGATGTGGCAGGGCTTTAGCACTTAAGAATGATTTGACAAAAAGGGGAGTATGAACTTCCTGCCCTGTTAGGGTTACTGTTTATTGTTCTCCCTTTGTATATTCGCTTAACCCTTTCTCTCACTGGTACTGACATAGGTGCTGGGGGAGGAGACCATAACAATGAAAAAGGCACAGTTCCTGCCTTTAAGCTTTTAATATAAGAAGGATACAGATACTTATTGTTTGGTTATTATTTATCTAAGTTACATAATAAAAACGTGTAGATTATATTGCAGCACTGAGAGAACACAATTATTTCTTCTCAGGGGATTGGAGAAGAATGCACTCTTTGATCTGGATCTAGAACAGTCCCCAAGGTTGACTGTGGAGGGACATTTCTGGTAGAGAAAAGTCTTGATCCACGAAAACATGGAGTCATGAGTGTGCAAGGCTGGTTCCAGGAATGAGATGTAGGATCACTTCTATTATGCTTTTCCCAGGGACTCTTCGTTCTGGAGGAAAAAAATTAACTGCACTTATCGGTATTACTATTTTTCTTTTCCAGCATCGATCCAGATTTTAGTCAGTCCTTCATAATAATTGGGTATTCCTAAAACTAATAGAAATGATGTAAATTTCTATCACGGTTGTGAGGCTGATACACAGCCAAGTTAAGTCAGCTTGATGGCAGATAATTTTCATTTCACGTGCCAACTGTAATTGGTCTCGACTCCATGTAACACTTGTAAATTTGGGGGCCTTGTCTGGGTTTAGTGGAAAAGATGACATGTTAAACTGTTCTCCCATGGGCCCAGAAGAAGGGTGTGGTACCTTATGTGCCACAGTTGCTATTTCTGCTGTGAACCCATAAGTGTTTTTCA